ACCACCGCTAAGCTAAAAGTGGCTAATGTTGGGCTATAAAGGAACTACAGCACGGTCACATGACTTCACGTCACCACCGCTAAGCTAAAGGCTGCTAATGTTGGGCTATAAAGGAACTACAGCACGGTCACATGACTTCACGTCACCACCGCTAAGCTAAAGGCTGCTAATGTTGGGCTATAAAGGAACTACAGCACGGTCACATGACTTCACTTCACCACCGCTAAGCTAAAGGAGGCTAATGTTGGGCTATAAAGGAACTACAGCACGGTCACATGACTTCACGTCACCACCGCTAAGCTAAAGGTGGCTAATGTTGGGCTATAAAGGAACTACAGCACGGTCACATGACTTCACGTCACAAACGGCTAAGCTAAAGGTGGCTAATGTTGGGCTATAAAGGAACTACAGCACGGTCACATGACTTCACGTCACCACCGCTAAGCTAAAGGTGGCTAATGTTGGGCTATAAAGGAACTACAGCACGGTCACATGACTTCACGTCACCACCGCTAAGCTAAAGGTGGCTAATGTTGGGCTATAAAGCAACTAAGTCCAGCTGAGGCTAATGTGGACCGCTTTTGGTCGTAGAAAAAGTCACGAGGGTTTATCTCAAAGTGATCATAATGAAGGTTTAAAATGTGCTGACGATCCATCGTGATTCACACTGCTGACCTTTCAAAACCAAACTCTGTTTGTATGACTGCATGTGTTATTGTTGGCCTGTCGGACTGGGAGCGGTCCGCTGCTCTTACTGGGACAACAACTGATTTAATTACTAAAACAATCAGAGGGTCTGATCTCATCCCACGCACATGTTGTTTTGTAATTTTCTTTTTTTACTGCAAGGCTGAACATGAGACAGTAAGTGACAGAAGTGGACTGTTACGAAGCAGATTTAGTGTCTCTACTTTAAAGAGTCCTCTCCTGCTGATGTTCAGGTGTATATCAGTGTCTCTACTTTAAAGAGTCCTCTCCTGCTGATGTTCAGGTGTATATCAGTATGTAGTGTATCTACTTTAAAGAGTCCTCTCCTGCTGATGTTCAGGTGTATATCAGTATGTAGTGTCTCTACTTTAAAGAGTCCTCTCCTGCTGAAGTTCAGGTGTATATCAGTATGTAGTGTCTCTACTTTAAAGAGTCCTCTTCTGCTGATGTTCAGGTGTATATCAGTATGTAGTGTCTCTACTTTAAAGAGTCCTCTCCTGCTGATGTTCAGGTGTATATCAGTATGTAGTGTCTCTACTTTAAAGAGTCCTCTCCTGCTGATGTTCAGGTGTATATCAGTATGTAGTGTCTCTACTTTAAAGAGTCCTCTCCTGCTGATGTTCAGGTGTATATCAGTATGTAGTGTCTCTACTTTAAAGAGTCCTCTTCTGCTGATGTTCAGGTGTATATCAGTATGTAGTGTCTCTACTTTAAAGAGTCCTCTCCTGCTGATGTTCAGGTGTATATCAGTATGTAGTGTCTCTACTTTAAAGAGTCCTCTTCTGCTGATGTTCAGGTGTATATCAGTATGTAGTGTCTCTACTTTAAAGAGTCCTCTTCTGCTGATGTTCAGGTGTATATCAGTATGTAGTGTCTCTACTTTAAAGAGTCCTCTCCTGCTGATGTTCAGGTGTATATCAGTATGTAGTGTCTCTACTTTAAAGAGTCCTCTCCTGCTGATGTTCAGGTGTATATCAGTATGTAGTGTCTCTACTTTAAAGAGTCCCCTCCTGCTGATGTTCAGGTGTATATCAGCATGTAGTGTCTCTACTTTAAAGAGTCCCCTCCTGCTGATGTTCAGGTGTATATCAGCATGTAGTGTCTCTACTTTAAAGAGTCCTCTCCTGCTGATGTTCAGGTGTATATCAGTATGTAGTGTCTCTACTTTAAAGAGTCCTCTCCTGCTGATGTTCAAGTGTATATCAGTATGTAGTGTCTCTACTTTAAAGAGTCCTCTCCTGCTGATGTTCAAGTGTATATCAGTATGTAGTGTCTCTACTTTAAAGAGTCCTCTCCTGCTGATGTTCAGGTGTATATCAATATGTAGTGTCTCTACTTTAAAGAGTCCTCTCCTGCTGATGTTCAGGTGTATATCAGTATGTAGTGTCTCTACTTTAAAGAGTCCTCTCCTGCTGATGTTCAGGTGTATATCAATATGTAGTGTCTCTACTTTAAAGAGTCCTCTCCTGCTGACGTTCAGGTGTATATCAGTATGTAGTGTCTCTACTTTAAAGAGTCCTCTCCTGCTGATGTTCAGGTGTATATCAGTATGTAGTGTCTCTACTTTAAAGAGTCCTCTCCTGCTGATGTTCAGGTGTATATCAGTATGTAGTGTCTCTACTTTAAAGAGTCCTCTCCTGCTGATGTTCAGGTGTATATCAGTATGTAGTGTCTCTACTTTAAAGAGTCCTCTCCTGCTGATGTTCAGGTGTATATCAGTATATACTGTCTCTACTTTAAAGAGTCCTCTCCTGCTGATGTTCAGGTTTATATCAGTATATAGTGTCTCTACTTTAAAGAGTCCTCTCCTGAAACCAGAGCCCAGTCTGCTCCGATTGGTTAGCTGGCCGGCTATGTTGTGATTGGTCAACTGCTTAGAGATGTCCCGCCCCTTAACTGTAATTTTAATTGTTGTTGTCATTGAGAAAACAATTATAGCCTCACATGAACACACACACACACACACACACACACACACACACACACACACACACACACACACACACACACACACACACACACACACTTCAATACATGTCCTCATGCCTGTCTATGAGAGGAACCATCAGCATGTTTGAGGACAAACAGGTGACGCACATACACACACACACACACACACACACACACACACACACACACACACACACACACACACACACACACACACAGCTGGCCTATAAAGACTTTGCCTTGTTTACCCTTCGCACAGATGGAGGCTGAGGAATGCTGTCATTGTGGAGGACACACACACACACACAGACACAGACACACACACACACACACACGCACACACACACACACACACACACACACACACACACACACACACACACACACACACACACACACACCACTGATGATGTCTTGCCCACCTGTAAGCTTTCCGTCATAAACGTCTGAGTGTGTCTGCAGCTAACACCTGCTGACGCTGCTGCAGGAAGTATTCAGATCCTTATTTAAAGGCAGGGTAATTAGGACTCAAACACTCACATACAAGTTCAAAGTGTTACGTTTACTATAATATAGGAGCTAGAAACATGATAATAGATATGATATGTATATTGTATTATTGCTTGTTGATAGGAGGACATGCAGGATTGCTTCTATTATCAGAATTACCCAACAACCAACCAATTATCCAATCAACCATTTCACCTCCTATTTGGTTTGACCGGTACATTTTTTACAATACGACTTCCTTTTACAATTTGATCTGGTCCTTTATGTAAACTCTTAATATTTGAATAACTACTGCAGTCAGATAAATGTAGTTTAGTAAAAGTATGATAGTTCTCTCTGAAATCTAGCAGAGTATTAAGTCTCATGAATGGGTCTCCTCATGTAAAGTATACTTCAACTTCGTACTTCACTAAATGCTCTCGTTCCTCTCAGGTGGTTTTTGTCCTGCTGCATCACTTCAGCTGCTGCAGAGCCCCCCCCCCCCCCCCTCCTCGTCTTCTTCTTCTTCATCCTCTCATTTCACACTCAGCTGCTCTCACTCCTGCAGAGCACACAGAACACACACTCAAAGTTACTTTAAAGAGGACGTCTTCACACACACACACACACACACACACACACTCTGCCGACTTATCGCTGTCCCGTCCCGAGCTGCGTAACGATTATTCTCAGGCAGGCAGGGGTAAGAAGTGTGTGTGTGTGTGTGTGTGTGTGTGTGTGTGTGTGTGTGTGTGTGTGTGTGTGTGTGTGTGTGTGTGTGTGTGTGTGTGTGCGCGCTGCAGTTATTCTGCTGACTGCAGGAGCCGGCGCATCAGCAATTGGAAACAGTGAATGAAGATAAGGAAAGGGGGGGATCAATCCGAACTACTACACACACACACACACACACACACACACACACACACACACACACACACACACACACACACACACACACACACACATGCACACACACACACACACACACTTCCTGACACACACTTAAGCCTCAAAAGAAACGAAATAACTTTTCATCCCAAGGACATTCCTCTCTTTTTTTTGTATTAATACGAAGACCTGTGAAGAAACCCAGTTAGTTATATTTCTGATTTGAGTGTTTTACAGCTCAATGTATATGTATGGTATATTATGTTAGTATTTTTCCTTGTTTCTGTTACAAGTGGAGCAGCTGTGAGGCAAGAACCATGTCAGACTTGATCGAACAGTAAAGTATTATCACATCGTAAAAACACATTTGACCTGATTCAGTGATTTGAATTTCATTCTGGCAACCCTCGACTTCCATATGCAGTTTGGGAGGTGAGTTCCCTCCCTCTGCTGGGGGTGAGTGTGTAGAGGATGGGCTGCAGCGTGTGTGTGTGTGTGTGTGTGTGTGTGTGTGTGTGTGTGTGTGTGTGTGTGTGTGTGTGTGTGTGTGTGTGTTAATGGAGGGTGACGCTGCACTGTGGCTCAGTCTCTCTGAAGTTGTGGACTGTCAGTGTCAGCGGGACATGTTGGATGACGGGGAGCATTTCCTGCACAGTATGTACTGCATGTGTGTGTGTTATATGGTGTGTGTGTGTGTGTGTTATATGGTGTGTATGTGTCCTCTGTAGTGTGAAGTTCTCTCGGGACATTTGGCTCGTGCATCGAGGACGATTCAATGTGATCTTTGCAACATGCAGAGTTTTATTTTGAGTTCTGATTTGGGTTCTTAAGTACGTGTGTGTGTGTGTGTGCAGATTTGTGTGCACTGCAGACAGAAACACTGCTGCATGCAGATACATAACTTTCCTTTCTCTGCACCAATGCAACTAAAGTAAAGCTCTACCTCCTCTTCCTCCTCTCTGCAGTGATCAGAAGATGAAGATGATTCCTGTGCTGATCTGTGCGCTCCTCTCTCTGACTGTCGCCGAGAGCGACTTAGACAAACTGTACCCCGAACTGGAGCACTCCAGAACCATCTATGTCACAGGTGAGAGGGTATGTGTGTGTGTGTGTGTGTGTGTGTGTGTGTGTGTGTGTGTGTGTGTGTGTGTGTGTGTGTGTGTGTGTGTGTGTGTGTGTGTGTGTGTGTGTGTGTGTGTTGCGTTCCCGACACTCTGCAGAGTTTATCTGCGGCTCCTCTGAGATAACGCTGCTATGTGGGGGATTATCTGCTCACAGAGATTAGTGTTATCTCTTCACACAGATGAAACTTTGTCAAGATTTTAAACTTTGAGAGGAAGCTGAGGTACAGATGTTTGTTTGTGTGTGTGTGTGTGTGTGTGTGTGTTGTGTACCATTTATCTAGGAATCTAAAATCTTTGTGAGTCAGGGTTACATCTGGTATTTGACCCATTAGTGTTGAAACAGGCAGCCCTATTCTCCTGGTCTACAAAGGCTAAAATCATTGTGTTCCCTCCAGAGGAAGTTTCTCTCCCACACACTAACATTAATCATTTAAGAATTAACACCTGACAATATCTGATAGCAACCTCTTACTAATCACTATCTAAAAAAGTTATTAAAAAGTAAAAAATAACTAACTACAAATAAAGCTTTTAAAACACTAATTTGCCCACTAATGAATAAACAATAAAATCATTTTTTACAAACTTATAACTACCTTCTGCCAGAGTCATATTGCCTTAAACGCAAATGTCAACCTCCCTTTGACACAGAATCAATTAGCTGTTTGATCACTTACATTGACACACACACACACACACACACACACACACACACACACACACACACACACACACACACACACACACACACACACACACGCTTACACAGCATACAAAGTGCTGCGGTGGTTAAACAGCCAATCAGAGAGCCTGTTAGTGATGGAGGCTGAAGGTCAGAGATGCTAACGTTAGCGCTCTGTGTGCTGAGACACAGCTGGAGGTATCTACAGTGTGTGTACTCTGCAGCAGGACATTATTTCATGTGTACAGGTATGGATTCATCTCACCTTGGTGAAGCTGCACACATGAGAACAAGCAGCTGAGAGTTACTGGGTGTTTACACATCGAAAGAAATAAGCCTATTTGCTTTTTCATTCATGAATGCCAATAATGTCTAAAAGATAGGAAGCTAGCATCATTAGCTAAAGTTGAGCTGCTAATGATGAACGTATTAAAGTGTCAACGCTTTGAGCACTAGGAAAATAATAGAAATAACATGTATTATTATTATTAAAGTGCTGTACTCTCTTTCGACTATCTCAGTCAGTACAGCTTTTTAGCAACAGCACGTTAGCATTGTCACCGTTAGCACGTTAGCTACCTTACGGAGCCACGAACTTGGCTGCTGACCTAAAATCTTTTTTAGATGTTGACGGAGAAAGGCTAGCTGTTTCCTACTGCTTTCCGTCTTTGTGCTAAGCTAGGTACTTCACATAGACGTCAGATTGATATCCATCCTCTAATCTCACTCTTGGAAAAGCTGCAAATGCATTCATTTCTCTCAATGCTGTAATCATGTTGCTGTGTTTCAGAAAACGGGCCTCAGCTGTCGGTGGCGGCAGAACAAATGAAGGTGGTTTCGCGGCGCGGAGGAAACGCTACGTTACCGTGCAAGATCCAAATGGACCAATCAATGACGCCCAGCCGCAAGATGAGGATCAAATGGACCAAGATGACGTCTGACTACCTGAAAGAGGTACCATTTACTTTATAAATTATAGGCTATCTGGGTTTATCTTGTAGATCAAACGAACATTTTAATATTTGTGTTATTTGAAAGGTGGGTCTCTGTTTTGATGGTATTTTGAGCTCAGCATGCACAAATGAAGACCAATGAAGACCACAATGCAAATGCTTAGTGCATTAATAGACAGTCGGTGGTAGTTATGCACCCCAAAACGTACCAATACACCTATATGAAGAAGAAATAAGAGCATTTAGAAATGGATAAACAATGGACGTTGCAAAATATTGAAAATAATCAGAATTGTCAATTTTACATCTTGTTTTTTGTACGAATGAAACCAGAAATATCTGACATGTTAGATAACGTTAGCTTTCATCAGATCCAGGCTACCCTTGTTTCATTTTTTATGCTAAGCTAAGCTAATGGGATTCAGTTTGTAGCCTAATCATTTACACAGAGATTTGAGAGAGGTGTCACATCTGCTCATCCAATTTTCCACCAAATAGCAAACTTCCCAAATTGTCAAATTTCTAGTTTGAGATTTGTTTTTTGAAAACGTGGAATTTGCCTCTATACTGTAGGTTTAATCTAATAAACAAACAAGAACGCCAAGGTGTTTCCATAAGTGAAAAAGGATTTGAATCAGATCCAAAACGAAACAGCTTATTTCTTGGCTCAAGCTTCACCTTTACGCCAAGTTTCGTGAAAATTGAA